GGGGTGTGACGCAAATAGGAAACGGCAGAATTTACAAGTCACAATTATTACCCGTCCATGTTAGTGTTGTCTTTATAATACCATCACAAGAAATGCTACTGTTTTTGCCTTCCTTGCATAACGTTACATACACATACAGTATGTAATAGCGTTGACGTTATAACAGGTTTTCGTGTGTTTAAAGCAAGTTCCTTGGTATCCTTTGCCTTCGCGTTTTTTTCTACGAATTCTAAATAAATTCATCAAAAAGTTCGTACAAATGGGCTAAGCAGAGTGAATAATTAGCCAAGGGATTCAGCTGATTAGATACGGCCCAGTTTTAGTCCCGTGGGGCCAATTTCTAATACTTATTCAACCACAGGAAGAGCCTGAGGTAGACTAATGGCATTAATGTAGGGTGGTCGTGCCTCGTTTCTTCTCCACGCTCCACTTCTATAGTAATGCCCATTCCTTATCTAACCCCAGCTACCTTGCCTGGATGTTTATACAGTACTTAGGCAGGTGGGCATAGAAACTAGATAAAGAAACAAAGAAGGTCACTTATACAATCCGAAGGTAAAGAAGGTGTCCTGTATATTCTGTCCTTCGTTGTCATGTATATGTAGGTCAGGTCAACATTTGCATACTGGACTCGGGAGCTAAATCATTTTTTAATGTGAGTGACCCTTGGCCATGCATTAGGTGCATTAGGGCCCTATATAGTGCGCGCTACGAACAAAGAAATTGCATACAAAAAAAAAAAAAAACGCGCGCCACCCCACCCCTTGGGCACACGGTGCACTTATAACAATATAATTTGTTTTTAATACTGTATAGAGGGAAGATCGTGCTTAATTAGATAAAAATTATGAACTTGTAACTTGTCTTTTAATTCGTCTAAAACACGTTAAGCGTTTTGGCCTCAAACGCGGAGAGTGGATCGATTAATTTCTTGAAGGATTTGTTCTTTTCTAATCTCATATAGAAAAGGATATTAGTAGATACAAGAAGCAAAACAGCGTGCAAATCAGCGTGCAAAACAGCGTGCAAAACAGCGTGCAAAACAGCGTGCAAAACAGCGTGCAAAACAGCGTGAGTAGCACACTCTCCGTTTGTAATGATGTTACATGTTACTAATGGTACAATCCGATGAGGTTACGTTTTGCAATGGAATCAAAATAAGGTATCATCATCACCGAATGACGTCACAACAGTAATCCCTGGAAAATAACGTGGTTGATTGCAAATTCTGATTCGCCTTGCGAGTAAGCCGTGTTTGAAGACTCTTAGGCCTCTATAAATATTTCAATACGTTGAGCAATAATTGATTTATGATAATATTGATTTTCGTTAGGTAAGCATGTACCCGTCGCTGAGTTCCAGTTCCAGTGAAGCTCCCAGAGTTTATGTTCGATATGAATACGAAAATACATTATTTTAAACAATATTCACAACTATTCAGGGACAGGAATTTTGCCTGTGTGGATGGTGTTCAGCACCAAGGACAGATTTGTTTGCGTGATAGAATTAAGTCTTCAGCACCAAGGACAAGTGTGAATATGTGGATGTGTGAAACACAAAGGAAAGTTGCTTGGCAGTGAGTGGACAACTAACAGAATTTAATTCTTTTGGTCGTATGATGTGTGTTTGTCTTGACACGTCACAAGCAATGAACATCTTTTGCCATCAGTGAAAGAGCAACTCTGCTATAGCGTCATCTAGCAATCTTCACTGGAACTGCACGTTTGTCTGTCATAACATGCAGCTTTACCATGTACCAAGGTCATGCTCATGGATAAAATGCGCAACCTAGCAATTGTTACTAGAACTGCAACGGGTCGCGGCCAGGTCTCCTCTCTTCTCTCTGAAAAACAGTTTTATGGGCACCCTTTATAGTCTAAACACACTTATATACTGACCATAGAAGAGCTGCTGATCTGATAAATGGTGATGGTATAGATTTCCTAATCCCCCGGGCCGTGAAATGGCGGTCTGAAGGTCGCGGCCGCCATTAATGGCACTGGGCCGGAGGATACTTCACTCTCTACCCGGTGACCGTTTCGTCATTCATGTTATACCAAGGAGGTCATTGGTTATACAAAATGTTTGCCAGAAACTGGAACAGAAAAAAAATGTCAACTTTAAATTCGAAACAATTCGCATCAATAAACTAACCATGCATTTACTGAGCTTAAAGTATGCTGATACCGATTGGTTCATGAAACATGTATTAACCAATCAGCTCTGGCCATTATTTGATCTGTGGGAATACATGCAGTGTATATAAGTAATCCAGATGCACGAAAAGATAAGTGCTGATTGGTTTCTTTATTACAACCTTATCTCTAATTGGTTATCTTTGCCATTGTTTCGGTCAATCTCCATTTAGCTTACAACGTGTACACGTTTGTATGGATAAATCTCCTGCAATAATTTTGTCTTCCACATAGCGGCGCTCTAGCCTGTGTATACAAGCTCTCGGCCGGAGGTTGGGGGGCGGCAACCTAGGGCGGCGGCCGCCAGGAGCGCGATTTAGTCAGGCTAGCGGCGCTCTTGTCACGTAGCATCGACAGGCGTTGACGCCAGGATGGCGTGGAGTTTATATCTTTAACGTTTGAGATGGGACTAATTGTTTTAGACACCATGAAAGTGTGATCCCTCAGTGATCATTTGGGCACCATGTTCGTGGATGGTGTTCAGCACCAGGGCAGGTGTGTTCACCTGTGTGTGATGGTGTTCAGCACCAAGGACAGGTGTGTTTACCTCTATGGATGGTGTTCAGTACCAAAGACAGGTGTTTGCATTTGTGGATGGTGTTCAGCACCAAGGACAGGTGTGTTTGCATTGTGGATGGTGTTCAGCACCAAGGATAGGTGTTTGTATTTGTGAATGGTGTTCAGCACCAAAGACAGGTGTTTGTATTTGTGGATGGTGTTCAGCACCAAGGACTGGAATATTTTTATTTGTGGATGGTGTTCAGCACCAGGGACAGATGTGTTTGTATGTATGGATGGTGTTCAGCACCAAGGACTGGAATATTTGTGGATGGTGTTCAGCACCAAGGACAGATGTGTTTGTATTTATGGATGGTGTTCAGTACCAAGGACATGTGTTTACCTATATGAATGGTGTTCAGCATCAGGGAAAGGTGCCTGTTGAAGTGTGGAATGTGTTCTACACAAAGGGAAGGCATGTTTACCTACATGTCAATGGTGTTCAGCTAGCACCAAGGATAGGTATGTTTACCCATTTCTAGAATTCTTACCTTTATTTTGCATGGTTGGTGTCCAGCATGGAGCATGTTGACTACATATATATCACAATTGACGTGATGCATTAGTTCTCTTACAAATTTGTTTCATCTAAATAAAGGAAAAAAATCAGACAGCACCAGCCTTCTGCTAGTCTTCTTATTTATTCCCTGGTGATTACAAGGGCCAGTTTGTGGTTCCACAGTCAGCATTGGACCAAGTAAGTAACGTACAAGCAGTGCCTTACTGCATGGAAATCATGGTACCCGATCTCCTACTCCTACTAAAGCAGCTCAACAAACAAATTCAGGTGGCACCTCAATGCTGTAAATATCCTTGCAAGTTTTCCTTAATTTAAATCAGAGTAATTTAGATTATTGACCACACCAGCTGCCTTTACAATAGGTGCCACAGCCCAGCTGAATATATCATTAATACAGAGACTTTGGGTTGTAAACCTAACATCAATGTTACGTAGTATAAAGGCACATGTTTGATTCATATAGCATTGCATTCTGTACTTAAGCCTCAGATAGTGTATAACTCTACTGACACAACCTATATACTTATAAAGAACTTGACATATTCACTGATTATTAATGGAGTTTTGAGATAATTTGTTCTCATGTGTCATGCAAGATTGGCCACACAATAGGCATGGATTCTGCCCTTCAACTGATTTTTAAAAAAGAATATTTTCTGACTGTTAGCCCATCCATCTGCAGACCAATGGCTAGAATCATGTAAAATGACATCGTTCATGTTGGAATTTGTCTTTCTGTACATTGGGGAACTGTAACAATGTCTTTCATCTGGAACTTTCTTTATACTTTTACCATTGTCAAAGATCCAGAGGGCCATTTCAAACCCCAACGAGAATTCTGGGATATGTTTTGTACAGCACTGCCAGGGCATTTGCGGGACGTTGAGGTCAATATTTTCTCAACTGTCCACCCCTCGGCTCTGCACAGCACTCATTTTTCTTCTTTAGAATTTCACCTTACTTCAGCCAACCTGGCCGCTGAAAGAAAATCCCTTAGTAAGACATATATATGCAAGCTGGAAGAAATCTATTTAAAAAAAATGTAGCTGTGGCTGTTCTCATATCAGTGCTGATACAAACATTTTACAGTAAAAAAACAGGCCTTTAAAAGACCAATTACTTTCACTGACTTTGTAGGAGTCTGTCATCATGTGGGCCGCACATGTAATCCTTCCTTCTCCTTTCAATACAGAACTGACACAGAAATGATTCAATGATTTCTACAAGAAAAGTTCAGTTGGTTGGACTGGCCTAACATGACACGTTTGAAAACGATGACATCTATATTTGTACAATCCCTTATGTGCTGCCCCTAATGTTGATATCGTTATGTTCTTGTGCATTAATTTCTGTCATTAAATCTGGCATAAAG